GTCCGCATTCTAGAACGAATCTGTACATGGCAACCGCCAGCGCCGCGCCACGGCATACAAACAATTTACCAGACTATCGTTCGCCCTCGCGGTATTAGTGGGTCGATCAATTCCTGGATGAATTCGGTAAGATAACACCGCAATGTAGGCCTTCCCACGTGGCGAACATGTTCTCGACCAATGCGAGCAGCGAGTAAGTACTTTGTTCGGTCCGTATAAAGCATCTAGTGGCTGCACACCCTCACAGGTTCATTGCAGCGCGCATCCAAATTTACTTTCGTTTAAACTTAATACTTTGGACCTTCAAGATGCCTGTATTCTCTAGATTAGCCGTTGCTGTTCAGCTCTTTGCTGTAATCCTGTCGCCAGTTCTTGGTGCCGCCGCTAAGCCCCAGTATGACTATGTCATTGTCGGAGGCGGTGTCACTGGATTGATTGTTGCCAACCGCATCACTGAGGACAAGAGCAGTATGTGTTTCAGCCCCAGAATTTGTCGAAAACTTCACTAACATCAGCCCCAGAGACTGTCCTTGTCGTTGAAGCGGGTGACAACGTCGATACCGATGCAACCAAGATCCCATACAAGGCCAATGACTTGACCTCTGCGGCTGGTTTGATCTGGGAGAACATCAACTCCCTACCCGAGCCGGCTATCGGCAACACATCGTACCAGGTTGTTGTTGCGAAGGTCCTCGGTGGTGGATCTGTCATCAATGGCATGGTCTACGACCGCGGCTCAGCTGCCGACTACGATGCGTGGGAGGCTCTCGGCAACAAAGGATGGGGTTGGAAGGGAATGGAAGAGGCCTTCATCAAGGGTACCACTTTCCAACCTCCCACTCCCGATGTTGTCAAAGACTTCAACATCACTTGGGATGAGTCGACCTACGGTAACGGACCGTTGACCGTCTCAATCACATCCAACCAATATGAGGATATCAAGGACTACTGGGCGGCGTGGAAGGCCACTGGTATCTACGTCCCAGAGGATGGAAACGCCGGCGAAGCCTATGGTCCTTCTTGGTACGCCAACACCATGGATGCGACCACTGGACGCCGCGCACATGCTCGCTACGCGTACTACGACCCCATTCAGACTCGTGCCAACCTCCACATCCTCACAGGCACCACCGCCGACAAGATCATCTTCGACAACAAGAAGAAGCCGCTCATGGCTACTGGTGTCGAGGTTACCGACAAGAGTGGAAAGACTTCCACCTTCTACGCTAAGAAAGAGGTCGTCCTGGCTGCGGGCGCTATTCAGACACCTAAGCTCCTTCAGCTCAGTGGTATTGGCCCCAAGTCCGTCCTGAAGGCTGCCGGTATCGACGTCAAGGTTGAGCTCGATGCTGTAGGCTCCAACTTCCAGGACCACCCCTACGCCACCGTTGTCTTCAACACCACTTCCAACTACTTCCCCAACCAGAACTCGCTGATGACCAACGCGACATTCAACGCTTCCGCTTGGGAGCAGTACGTTGAGCACAAGACTGGCCCTTACACCTATGCCCGCGGTAACGCCCTGGCTTTCATCTCCCTGCCTGACATTACCAAGGACTTCAAGTCTCTTATCAGCACCCTTAACAGCCAGACCGCCACCGACTACCTTCCTAGCGTCTACAAGAACAGCAAGAAGCTCGCCAAGGGCTTTGCTAAGCAGCGTGCAGTCATTGCTGACATCTTCGGCCGCAAGGATGCCGCCGTGGCCGAGTTTCCCGTTCCCGCGGACGGCTCATACGGTCTTGTCGGTGTCGAGAAGCCCCTGTCGCGTGGTACCGTCTACATCGACGCAAAGAACCCCAACGGCCCTCCCAACGTCGTCTACAACGCCTTTGTCAACCCCATCGACCGTATGGTCATGGCGGCTGGTATGCGATTCTTCCGCACCGTGTGGGCCCGCCCCGAGCTCGCCAGCCACAAGATCTCCGAGACCGTCCCTGGTGCTCAATACACCTCCGACAAGGAGATTTACGATGCCCTGCTTGCCCAGTCGATGTTGTCCCCTACTCTCGCTCACCCATCTGGCTCTTGCCCGATGATGCCCGAGAAGGACGGTGGCTGTGTCAGCGACAAGTTGATGATTTACGGCACACAACATCTGTCTATCATTGACGCTTCTATCATCCCTATCATCCCGTCTTGCCATCTCCAGGCCACCATGTACGGCATTGGTGAGAAGGCTGCTGAGATTATCAAGTCCAGGTAGAGCGTGGTGATGATTTAAACTCTATTCTTGTATATACTTAGTTACTTTAATGTATCGAGCGGCTACATAAGCTATAAGCGCGCGTAAAAGTTGCATTGTTCAAAATTGCTCTGAGGGCTACATTCCTCCGCTCACCTTCTTTTGCTGCCGCCAAGCTCAGTGAATACCTCCAGGCCACACTGAGGTTCTGATGCACGGGCCAGATGATACTAAAGAACTTAATGAGTTGATGTGCTTGAGTCAACGCGCGACTGTCTGCGAACAAGCTTCCGCTCGCTGAACGCGTGAGTGGGTCGGCCCCACTATCTAGTGCCCCTCCATCCCACGGTTGCGTCACTACATTCCCAAAAGTTCAGGCTGCGCACAACTACGCGCGACTGCTACATTACCTCCGTCGCAACCACAACTTCCAGTTTCAAATCTACGTATCCGTCGGGCTACACTATAATGAAGCTACTCAAGAGCCAAATCGAACAGAAAACGGGCGCGGGGTTCGTCACCCTGCTGCCTGAGGAGCCTGAGGATATGGTACGCGCTCCACAAACAGATCGCCATAGATCACATGCATCCGAGTCCCTCTAGGCTTCATTATACTGACATTCACAGTGGCACGCCTACAACCTGATCCAAGAACACGACCAAATACGCGCCAAGGCAGTTCGCCGAGTTTCGAAGACATCTGACGCCGGCTCAACGTCCTCGCAACGAATCGCTCTAGACCTCACGATCGCAGTAACCTCGACCGATTTCGATATTGGCTCCGGACAACTTCATGTGTCTGGGCGCGTAGCAAAAGAGAATGAGCACGTAAAGTTAGGGCAACATCACACGCTGGATTTGGAGCTAAATCGCAAATTTACCATCGAAAAGGCCGACGGGTGGGATAGTGTCGCGTTGGAACAACTAAAAGAGGCATGCGATGCGTCAAAACGAGCGGAACTATGGGCTGTTGTACTGGGAGAGGGTACCGCGAACATATGCATGATCACTGAGCATCAGACGATACTACGACAAAAGATCGAGGTCTCCGTACCCAGAAAGAGGAGAGGTGGCGTAGATGGGCACAGCAAAGGCATGGACAGGTTCTTCTCGACGACGCTTTCGACACTACTACGGCAAATCGACCTACCGAACGCCCCCAGCACACCCCAAGGCAAGACGCTCCCACTCCTCCTCGCCAGTCCAGGCTTCGTAGCTTCGGCGTTTCTACAGTACATCAAAGAGGAAGCGACACGGACCACCAACAAGCCGCTCATGGCCCTCATACCCACGATAATCATCGCGCATTCCTCATCGGCGCACGTACACTCACTTAATGAGGTGCTCTCGTCGCCGGCGATAACGAACAAGCTGTCCGACACGAAATTCGCGCGCGAAACGGCATTAATGGATAAGTTCAACACACTCATGCGACAGGATGACGGCCGGGCGTGGTACGGCCCGCGCGAGGTGGAGCGCGCTGTCGCCAAAGGCGCAGTTGGGCGCGGTGGTGGAGTGCTCATGATAAACAACGCCCTGTTCCGCGCACAAGATGTGAAAGAGAGGAGACGATGGGTGAAGCTAGTCGACCAAGTGCGGGACGTGGAGGGTGGCGAAGTCAGGGTGCTCAGCTCATTACACGAGAGCGGGAAGCGACTCGAGGGCCTCGGAAACGTCGCAGCTATCCTCACCTACCCACTGGAAGACCTGGATGAGGATGACGGGGAGGACACAGGCGGTGTTGATGGCGAAGACGGCGAGATGATAATATAGGCTGGAGGATACATGGCCCTCCGGATTTCAACTTGCGCTTGGGAATATTCACGAATACCTCCAGGCTCTACCCAGATACGACGATACAATATACCCATCATGATTACGTCCGCCTGTACCGGCTCTCCAGCAGGTGATCACTGATGTTCATGCCTACAAGGCGGTAAGATTGAGCATGGCCCTTGCGCCACCCGCCAGTGAAACTCGACCCTGTACGCTGACCCAGCCCCCTCTAGCGCATCCTCTGAGCAAAAAGAAGGCAGCCCTTTTACCGTTGTCGCCCTCTGCTACCGCTGTGGTTCGAACAAGCTGAGTTTTGTTCGTCCCTAAATCGCAGAAATTGACAAAAAAAGTGGTAGCTTCTCTTTGATTGAGCGTGTCATCCTTAGTGCAGGGGCCATGCTAATCTTCTCTGTATCGTTTCAAATTGACCAAATGCCCGAAGGCGAAGAGAAGCTCATTTTGTGATATTATATCGTCGCGTGTTGTTGAAAAGTCGCGTTTGGGCGGGTTTGCACATGGGACGGTGAAGTGGCGGGATATGGCTCGTGCGCGATCCGCAAAACGTGGAACGTGAACTCAGGGGTCTCTAGGCTGCGATCGGACACGTGCAGTGACGTCGGCCGGAACTTCATAATGTCAGAATGCATACATGCAAAAGGCGTGTTCTTTACCAAACATCCGAAACACGGTTTTTGAAGATGTGCAGCACAAGTTAGCCACTACCGCCAGTTACAAAGATACCGTACGCGCCAATCGAGGTTGCACGATACCAGAGGGCAAGATGAAGGTAGCTTCGCTGCTTCTCGGAGGCAATCAAGATCACAGAACGACAAGCATGCGGAGCTGTCGCCCTGGTCGCTCAAATTTGGGCCTTGGACTCTCATCGAGACAGGTGAAGGTGGAGCTACAAGGTGAGAGACAACAAAATGCGCGAGCCGTAGGCATCTCCGCTCACATAAGTAGATGACCGAACAACGAAGTTTAGCCCTCTCTCTCTCTCTCCTCGCAACCTGTCCAGAACAGTAACATGACGTGCGACATGGAGTCCCAAGACCGACCACCCATGTACATCCGCGACCGCGGAAACGAATACAGCCGCCAGCCTGATTCTCCGTCTCAGCAGCCGCGCGCCGATGAGTCGCCCGGCCCCATACTCTTCTACGGTGCCCAGGACGTCTACGGGCAACTCAGCAACATGTATATAAGCAGCTTTAAGAATTCGATCTTTACCTACGGTCCCCCGAAGTTCAGGGAATACTGCTGTGTGGAGCAGTTTTTCCAGCATGCTAAGGCGCTTTGGGCGATGGACACTGTAAGTTTAAGCAGCGGTGAGGAAACCAGAATCTAACACTTAACAGGGATCCGGCGACGCGATCATGAGAACATCCGACCCGAAAAGGCACAAAGCACTGGGGAAAAAGGTTAAGAACCTAGATGTTAAAGAGTGGAACGAAAGTATGATGACGTCCTCGTGTCACAACGAAGAAATCGCTAATCTAAAGCTGCAGTGTCATACAAGGTCATGTTGAAGGCAGTTGGCTTGAAGTTCACCGTCTCAGAGTCGTCTGATACTCTCCGCGCAGTCCTCCTCGCAACCTCTGATCGCGAGATCGTCGAGGCATCAAGGGACATGACTTGGAGTTGCGGCTTGACGCTCGAGGAGGCGAAAAAGCACAAGGGCCGCTGGCCTGGCAAGAATCTTCTCGGCAAGGCGCTTATGGAAATTCGTCAAGAATTAGTGGACGAAAAGGAACGCCAGACTCGTGGTTTCGCTCCGCCAAACGATGCAGTCGCGGGAGGTGAGTTATGTCTTTGCGCATCCTTGTGGTTTACCATCACGAGCCTACATGAACCGTCGATGCTGCTGACGCTGGCCCCAAAAACTAGTTTGTTGTTACTGTAGATCTCGAAGAACTGACATTCGCGCAGGACAAAGCGAAGAAACTCCACATGATGACACCCTAGAGAATGACATAGACCTTCAGCGACTCAAGCGGAGGGCAGATCCAGTATACCTGCGGCAAAACGAAGAAAGGGCAGACAAGAGGGTGAAGCGACAGTAAGTCATCGCGCAAACTGGTTCCTGTTCATACGCATACTGATTTGGCCCAAAGGCATTCCGACTCCAAGGCGACACAGACCGAATCGCCTACCGATACTGGAGAAGTCGCCGATGGAGGACTGCCTGAAGTGTGGTGGTTTCCCAAGCCAGCACGTACAAAGCGGTACGGTCGTGGAGGATAGCGGATCAGGTGCACGGATAGTCCGCAGGACTCTCACCGAACGAGCGTGGTACAAAAGTTTGAGGTCATTGAGTCAGGTAGCCGGGTTCGTTTCATGGTTGTGCGCTGGACAGAAAGCTTTCGTATAAGCCGGCTATACTACAGGGACGTATCTGTGAGCAATTCTGTAGAGAATGCATCATATTGCCTACTACATGAGCTTTGCTCGACCCTTTCCATCAAAGACTATCGGTGCTGTATACCCCAACGAGTACGTGCGTGATGAGGGCATCTTACTCTGGCTTTTGCGACAGCAACGGAAAGCGCGACCCAAACAACACATCTGCCTGCTCCCACCGTGTTTCATGGTCGCAAATGGAATACCTGCCGTAGTTGCATAGGTCTCACGGATCAAGATTTATAAGCCCCCATCAGAGCAATAGATCACAACACTCTGAGTACAAATTATGTAAGATGCATTTATGCTAGGATATGTATGTATCGTTCCAGAAGAAGAAAGAAAAAGAGAAAAGAAGAAGAAGAAGCGTCAAGCGACGAACGATATCATCATGGTCGTAACCAACAAAAAGAGAAAACACCGATCCCCCGACCATCCATAAAATGCAGAAACAACAAGCAGAAAAAGAAAAAGGTATAACACGGTTACCCCATCTTTCACCTATCAAACACCGCCGTTGCATGCATGCCGTTACTCATCCCGATAGAACTTCTTGAAGATCAAATGCAAAAACAGATTAACGTTGACTCTGGCGACACCGTCGCCGGCAGCCGCGCCACCCCGAGCACCTTCGCCGAAGAGATTCATAAATTGGTGGTTGTCGAATTGCGCTTGGAGGAGGCCGTCGAGGGGCACCTCGGCGAAAGCACCAGGGATCATCATGGAGCCTTGGGAACCTTGGATCTCGAAGATACCTGTTTGGTTGCTGGAGATGGTAATATCCATGCGATCCCATTGTCGCTCGTGGTATCCAGACCAGGAGATGAGGATGCCCTTCTCGGCCAGGTTGCGGGCGGAGTATTTGAAGGAGCCGAAGCGGTACTCGCGACCGCTGTTCTTGAGTTCACGCTGGTGATTGTATTGGCGGGTGAAGGGGAGGAGGAACTTCTTCTTGCCCTTCTTCGATTGCAGCGTTACCATGGCTTGTTCAATGTAGTCGTTGTAGGACTTCAGTTGCGACTCTAGGAAATGTGCCTTCTCGTCGAGTGCGGCCAGTGTAGTCCGTACTCCCTCCAATTCCTTGGCGCGTTGGATACGTCTCCGGTGCTTGGTGCGGATGTCGACCGCGATGGCGTTGAGTAGGTCTTGGTAGTTGTTGGTGTGCGAGATGCGGCCTGCGCGTTGGAGTTGTACCATGTTCTCCAGACAGTATTGCTTGAGTGTGGGGTAGTCAAGATCAAGTACAGAGTTGGAGCCCATATCCTGCGTGTAAGTCGAAGCGGCAGAAGATCGGACTACGTTGCTCTGTTTCCGCGATCGATCTTTCCGCTGCGCGATGATCTCTTCACGGACGAGAGCGTCCCAGCGGTTCTCGTCATCGGGGGTAACCGGCTTACACATGATCTCGGTGAGGTTGGCGCCGGTTTGGATGCGGATGATGTACAGCACGTAGCGCTTGGTCTCCATGAAGAGGGATTTGATTGCAGAGTCGGGATCTAGGAAAGTCAGTAAGTGGTAACTGCAAATGGATGAAGAACTTACCCTCTTGCTCATGGTACTTGGGGTTCAGGGTCAATGTGATTTCGCTGGAGCTGACGTGCAGAAGCTCATTCTCGTTGTTCTTGGCGCTACCGAGCTCACGGACGATCTCACGGAGTGGATCGTCTTGAGAGGGGCATAAACTTGGTAGATCTTCGATGACGAGGTTGTGAATGGCGAATACGTCTGCGAGCTTGATGTAGAGTGTCGGCTTGGTTCTTGCAAACAGATCGTTGAACTCGTCAATCTCGAACTGAGCTTCGGCGGCACGGACGTTGATCATGTTCGACCAGATATCTTGTAGGCGATCGATTGCTTCGGTGATGTAGCTGTTGAGAGGCTGCAGGTAAAGGTCGTCTCCACCAAACAGCTTCCCCCCGGCGATCTGACTGAGGACCTTGGCAACAGCTCCAAGGTTTCTGTTCATCACTGGCGACAGGCCACGATCCACCACACCCCAGTGCTGAGGTTGCAATAGAGCAGGCTGAATGTAAGCCTTCCATACCCAGTAGCCGGTGATTTGTAGAAGCTGCTCTTGCGCTTCGTAGGGGAACTTCAAGCGTAGTTCTTCGAACATCTGCTGTGCGATGTACCTTACACCATATGGCATCCGGTGGAGTACCTCTTCGAACATCGTAAAGTACTGGTCGGCAACATCGCGAAGATCTTGCAGGTTGTGAATGAAAGTACCACGTGTCTCGGGGTCCTTGAGTGCTACATCTCGCGAGACATTCGGGTCGCGACGACTACTTTGGCCGGTACGGAGCTCCTCGTTGTTGATGGCGGAACGATAGATCTGCATCGGGTCGCTTTCCAGGTCCAGGTGCTCATTCTCAATGATATTCTCACGAATGACAGTTCCAAGAACATCTTTGAGGAACTTTCGGTCTCGCGGTGACCGGACGTAGTTGGCGAACAGTTTGGACCAGAAGAAGTTGCCACGAAGGTACTCATGGAGGTTCGCACAGCCCTCAATCTCCTCCTTCAGCGATCTTGTAAGCAGCTTCAACAGCCAGTACTCTTCTCTGCGTTTCTGGGCCAAACCAAACATACTCATGGTCAGCTGCTCGATGCGCTTGATGTCACCCTCTGCGAGATTTTGTTCACGAACGCGCCTGAAGAGTCTCGCCATGTACTGAGGCTGCGTCTGCAGAACAAAGAAAAGCTCCTGATACTGCTCCAGCTTCCGGCGCGAGTTCTTGTTGAGTGCTTTGAGATCGAAGGGGTCCTTTGACGAGATGTCCTTGCTGCTGAGTAGGGTGCCGACGTTGCCACCGAAGTGCTTCTGGTGCTTGACGACCTCGTCAAGGGTGATCTTGTTCTTTACGAGAAGCGCAATCTTGATGTCCAGTTGATCGACGTACTGCTCGGCGAGCTCGTTCTGGCGCACATGCTGTACTACAGTCTTGCGAAGACGCTCGAACTCTGACATTCCGTTAGTAAAACATGACTATAGTAATCAAAGAGCGACTTACCAATCTCCTCATCAAAGTCGATGTCGTTGTCGTTAAGAAGATGCACAAAGTTCTTGACAGTCGACACTGGAGGGTTTGTGCCACTGGTCAAGCTCTTGTAGGCTTCACCTTGTTGACGACCACGGATGAAGCTCTGCACTTTGATAACCTTCTCCATATTCTCCTTGTAGAACTGCTGCTTCTCTGCAAACTTCTGGCGGATCATCAAACCGCGCGCCAGGGTCTGTAGTTCGACAATCGCATCTTCATGCTCTTCCACTTGACCAAGCTGCATACCGATTTGCATTCTGAGTAGCATACCACGTGCCACGGCCTGAAGATCGACGGTTTCGGGCTCTTGAGCATTGAGCTCGCAAAGAGTCTCGTAGGTCCGTTGGCGTTGCATGAAGCCTCGGCAAGCCGATTGGAGGTCTAGAATGGTGGGTTCTTGCGCCTGAAGTGCCTTGAGATCAGAAAAGTGCTTCTGTCGCGAAAGGAAACCGCGAATGTGTGACTGAAGCGAAAGAACGTTGTCTTCTTGTTCGTGCAGAAGCGTGAGGATCTCAGTGATCTCTGCACGCATGGTGCCACCCCTTGCGACAGCTTGTAAATCGGTGATCTGAGGTACTTCGGCTTGAAGCGCCTCGTGGATCTGCCTGACAGAGTTTCTCAAGACATTGGCGCGAACTTGGGACTGAAGACCAGACCAATTGACATTCGTGCTTACCAGCTTCTTCTGCATTGCGGCGTCCTTCTTCCTAGCAAGAAGACCTCGGGCAGTTGACTGCAACATTGTAATCATAGATTCGTGTTGACGAAGACCTTCCTGATCGGCACGCAGTGACTGGCGGACACGCATTGCTCTTGCGACGGCTTGGAGTTGCGCGACCTCAGGTTCATTCTGTTGTAGTTCAGTCCATTCCCGATCGACTTGCTGGCGTAGAAGAGCGCCACGAATCATAGCCTGCACATGCATAACGGATGGTTCGGTATCGCGGGTTTGTTCGTATCGGTCGGACACACGTAGTCGTTCGAGTGCTCCTCGGATGGCTGCTTGGAATTGCCGTATGCCGTGTTCGTGTCGCTCGATCTTCGATTTGGTGTACTGAACTTGCGCTCTGGCCTTGCGCCCACGGAACAGGTTCTGCACCTTCAAAACCTGGGCCTCATTGGCGTGCCAAAACTGTTCTTCACCCTGGAGCCTCGATCGGACGAGGAATCCTCTCGCGGCACCTTGCAGAGTAACTGCGAAACGGCGCATGTCCATGCGGTAGGTGGAGATTTGTCGAGCCCAATCGCCACGAATGCGTGCCTGCAGATCCACGATGAGGTGCTCATGGTCCCAGAGCTCCTGCATCACCATTCCGAGGCGAATTCGGACGAGAGCACCGCGCATCTGGGCCTGAAGATCTAATATGATGTCCTCATTCTCCCCAAGCTCGCGGTCAATGCGGTCCTCCTCAGATTCCACTGGTTCTGGCTCCGGCTCCGGTTCAGGCTCGACTTGGAAATTGGCTTGCATGCCTGAGAAGTTGGGCATACTAACCCCAGACTTGTCGAGACCTTTTTGTGTAGCCTCCAATTCGTGGTCCTCGAACTGGAGTTTACCGACTAGATTGCCAATTCGGAAGTCGACAATGCCTTTTCGGAACAGAAGCCATGAGAGCGCG